TTGTACTTCAGGTGAAGGCTTTCAGAACAAATAGTTTCTCATGAAACAGTAGTACACGTATTGTTTTATGGCATTGGTTAACCCTAATCCTCTCCCTTCTCGACCTTTTTTTTTTTTGGTGAAAATATACATAGCCAAAGATACACCATTTCAAAAATTTCTACATGCACAGCTCAGTGACATTGACTGCACTCTTCCAGTTGTGCTGCTATTCTCACTTAAGATGAAGGCTTACAGAACAAAATAGTTTCTCATTTAACAGTTAGTACACATATTGCCCTGTGACAATGGTTAACAGCCTCACAACGCATCAACACTATCCTTACTCAATCTTGGGTTCCCTATCACCAGCTTCCTTGTCCCCTTTTGCCTTCTGGCCCTTGTCCCTGGACTGCTGTACCTCATTAGTCCCATTTGGTTTTATGGGGCTGTCCACTTCCAGGCTGAACAGTGAACCTCGGAGATGACTTCACCACTGAGCTAAAAGGCTGTCTGGGGGCCATATTATCGGGGTTTCTCCAGTCTCCTTTAGGGCAATAAATCTGGTCTTTTTTTTTTGTGAGTTAGAATTTTGTTCTACATCCTTCTCCAGCTCTGTCCAGAACCCTCTGTTGTGATCCTGGTCAGAATAAAATCTTTTTTAAAACACCAAGATATATATAGATACAGCCAGAATGCTCTTTAGAAGCAACATTGGCTGAGACTTCATCTCACATACTTTGGGCGTGTCATTAGGAGGGATCAGTCCCTGGAGAAGGACAGCATGCTTGGTAAAATAGAGGGTCAGCGAATAAGAGGAAGACTCTCAACGAGATGAATTGACATAGTGGCTACAGCAATGGGCTCAAGCATAACAATGATTGTGAGGATGGCACAGGACTGACCAGTGTTTTGTTCTGTTGTAAACAGGGTCGCTATGAGTCGGAACCCACTCAATGGCACCTAACAACAACATAATGTTAGGTATCTTTGAACGACTCTGCCCAACCCTGGGTTGATTTTCAACCATAGGGATCAGGAATAGGGAAAGGAGCTGCTTTGAACATTTCTTGGAAAAATTTAATCTGAAGGTTTCATGTTTTAATTTTTGATTACATCAAAATATCTCCACAGTAAAAAAAGAAAAAAAAAATGCCCGTCAAAAAGACCTTTACAAAATGTTCATGCATCCAGCCTTCCTGTAGCATTTTTCTTCTTTCAGCTTTTCCTCTAGTGTGAGAATTCCCTTTACATGAAGTTTCTTCTTAACTCACTTTAGAGAGCCTGGGCCTACTATCAGAAGACCATGACCACAGTGACTTGAGATTTTGTTAGATTATTTGTTACTCATAATTTACGATTAGTATTGCTCCTTTGTAGATGCCTCTCCCCTAGCATGTGAAATAAATACATCTTGCTGATTTGGACGTAAGTCGTATTCTAGGCTGGAACAACCTACATTTCAAGGAACAAAGTAAGCAGAGGTAGCCTGTTTTTAAGAAGAATATCTCCACAGATCCAGTTATTAAGCCCCAAACTTCATTGTTAATATCTTCCTGCCCTCAAGAATTCCTGCTTAACTCGCTTGACCCAGATATTGGCAGATAGTAAGATGATTGCCAGGGAAACATTAGACCATCAGGTAGATTAAAGAACAGATTATTCTAACTTCGTTTAGGAGAAGCCCATGTGAAGGGGCAAACATTAGTACATGCAGTGGTACCTATGCCAGTCATACCTGAAGAAATTTTGTTGCTGATGGCAATCAAGCCTGTGTTGTTGTTTTTCATGTCCAGATGAATAGATGTGATCATTTAGGACTGTATCAGTCAGGGTGAGGAGTAACAAACCTGAAAAATCTCAATGACTTAACAAAGATTTATTTCTCACCTACATTACATTCCAGTGCAGATCATTATTAGGTCAACTCCTTCCACGTCGTTCTGACATCTCCAGGAGCTCAGAATCCTCCATTGGATTCTCGGCAACTAGCCTGCAATCAAGAGTGGAGAAACACAGACAGAGTTTTGGGGGTCAAGCCTGGGCATGACATACATTACTTCTGCCCATATTTTATTAGCCAAAATTTAGTCACATGGCCCACCTGTAAGGGTAGCTGGGAAATGTAGTTTTCCCAAACACCCAGAAGAAATTGAAACGGAGATCAATGATCATATTGCATTGTCTCTGCCACAGTGTGTATTTTAGTAACTGGAATTTAAGGATAATAGAAAAGGTATGTAAAAACAAATTACACCCAAATATAGCAGGAAAAAAAGAGATATTAAATAGATTTGTTGTTAGAGTTTGCTAAGATGAAACAATTTAAGTCATCTTGTTCCTACAGGACTAGTCTTTGTCCCCATCAGTGGATAGGCTTTACTGGGAATGGACATTATTAGGGTGAGAATCTACTCTCACTTATTCGTACCAAAAACCTAAAGACCACCAACTTACTACCAACTTACATTTTAGCTGGTCTAGGAATTTAATTGTCTCTATACTTCTTTTTCAGGGTTTAAGTAAAAAAGTTGGTGTGTCATCCTCCATCCTCCAAGGTCTCTGGATCTCCTATAGCACGGAAGGTCTTTCCATGGCGTTGGCATCTTTACGAAACCTCTACACTCCAAATATAAAGGTAAATGCATATAAATTCCAGATGGATGAAAGGCTTAACTGTGTAAAATAAAATTTGAAGGACATTTAAGTGGCTATTTAATTGATCTTTGCTTGCCTTAGACTGTCTCCTATTAATTTTATTGGTAATTTAATTTATTTTAAATTATTGCATTTTATTCAGTGAATTGAAGACCAAACCTGTTATCCTTCTACCTTCTACAAACTGCCTCAGACTTATAGGATCAGGCCTTGCTGCTTCTAGGGAGTAAATTGATCTCAGGCAGCCTTTGTTTTGCTAGAAGCTTTTCTGATCAAGAGTTCACTTTATAGAGACTACATTCAGCACTACAGTATGTGCGGCACTTGCTGTAGTTACTGAGCAGTTTATGTAAATGAGTCATTTGACATCCGTTTTGGCACAGTGGTTAAGAGCTACGGCTACTGATCAAAAGGTCAGCAGTTTGAATCTACCAGCTGCTCCTTGGAAACCCTGTGGGGCAGTTCTACTCTGTCCTGTAGGGTTGTTATAAGTCGGAATCAGTTCGATGGCAACGGGTTTGGTTTGATTTTGGTTCCATTTTGGTTCCAAGGACAAGATATTGAAAAGGCACAAATGAAAAATTTTAAAAATAAAGCAGTAGTACATGCTACTCTAGGGGCTGTTGTGCGGTTTCATTTCATATAATAAAAAATGACTAAAAGGATGTGACTAATGTTTGAATTGATTCTTATTTCTATTTATTTACTTATTTCTAGGTCAGCCGATTGCTGATTTTGGGAGGTGCCAACATTAATTACCGGACTGAGGTTTTAAATAATGCTCCAATTCTATGTGTCCAGTCTCATCTTGGTTACACAGAAATGGTGGCTCTCCTGTTGGAGTTTGGTGCCAATGTAGATGCCTCTTCCGAAAGTGGCCTGACTCCTCTGGGGTATGCTGCAGCAGCAGGATACCTGAGTATTGTTGTGCTGCTGTGCAAGAAACGAGCCAAGGTAATGGCTGCCCAACTCTGCTGCTTTCCCCTTCTTCCCTTTTTCTTTCTTCTTGAGGTAGAGGCTTTCTTATCTCCCCTGTTACCTCATGAGTCTAGGAAAGAGTATATCAAATCCTATTAGGGAACAGATCAAGGGGAGTACTGGCTCTACATACATCCCAATGTTGATGCACTTTCAGTGTTGCCGTTGCCAGCCCACACTGCGTCTGGACACAGTTCTAAAACCTTTGACAGACACTAAGGAAACTGCAGTAATCAGCAACCATAAAAGTCCCTCCTTAACCAAGAAATTCTCTACTGAGCTCAGAAGAAATCCCCTTCTAACAAAGAGGAAAGAGAAGTGGGGGAGTGGAGAGTCTGCAGTGGGAGGTTTGAACTGAATGATGCCTGCAGACTCTAAGCTTTTCATGTGTAGAGAAGAAAAGCTAGCCATGGAGATTAGAACAGAGACCAGACTGCCTCATCCTGTCCTCTGAAGACCACCACCCTAGGTGACTCTCCCTATTTATACTCAAACTGACTGAAGCCACCTAAAAGTGTTTCCATTAGTACATTTCAGTTCTCTGAAAGTCTTTCCAAAATGTGTGTTTGCTTTATCTTACTTCAAGAACCACTGGTACAAAGGGCTTAATTTCAAAATATTGGTGAAAAGAAAAAAGCTGGTCTCATAAATGTGGGTCTGGAGAATATTTGGCCGGACAGTATTTTGTTTCAGTCTTGAAAACAAACTAAGAATTTTGGTGGTTTCACAGTGAAATATAAGTAATACATAAGAACTCATTCTGAGGTGTCCAGTGCTCTTACCAGGGAAGAAAGTGGGACTCCTGAGACTCCTTTGGGAACTGGGAACTGGGACCTGAGACTCCCAGTGAAATCCCAGAGCTTTAGATGTTCACTGTGACACAGTGATGGTCCACCTGTAAGATCCCATTCACTTGAATGACACCTCTAGAAACAGAATGATAACTGAGCCTTATTACTGTTGCTGTAAATTCATATTCTAATCTCAGCTGGCCTTTCCTGCTGCCCAGGCCTTACACTGCAGCCAGCATTTTATTCAAAGCAAGCAGAGGTAGCATGTTTTTAAAAAGAATACCTTTTCAAATAATTTCTACTCTTCTGAAGACCCTATCATACCACTGCTGCCCACCTACGTTACAAAGATTGAGTTCATCTCAACGTGCCTCTGTCTCAAAACTCTATTAATCCTACCTTCACTCTCCTTTACTTCTACCTCAGAGAAGCGTTTACCTTTCTTTCCAAAACTGTTGCCTGCATCTATACTCTTAACCCCAGTATGTTGTTCATTTTGTCACATTTCATTTCATTCTTTCCCTAAATTCACACTACCTCTTTTCCCAGTTTCTACAAACCTATGAATGTCTCCCCTAACTTAAAAGAGAAACTTCCCCCTCACCTGCTAACTAGAAGCTACTATTCCATCTCTTCCCTTCAGCGTCCACCAGACCTATCCGAAGAGTCATCTCGGCTTGCTTCCTGTTCCCTTACAACTCCTTAACCACTTACAATCTGGCTTCCATGAGAGAGAGCAGACAAGTCATTAAAATCATAGGCTTTGGAATCAAACACAGCTGGGTCCAATCCTGCATCCACACTTAACTTTCATTCACTTATGAGTCATTTAGTCTCTCTCAATCTCAGTTTTTTCAACTATGAAAAGGATTCATAGGGTTAGTGTGAGGATTAAAAGAGATAAGTCTTTTTGTAAAAGAGTTCGAAGTCTATTTTAATCTCATACAGTGCCTAATAAATAGTATCCTTAAAAAAGTACAAAAAAAAAAAAAACCCTCCGGGCATTCAACTGAAGCTACTCTCTCAAAAGTCACAACTGGCAGTCACCAGATTAAAGCAGCTTTTTCTCATTCCTCACCCCTCTAAGCCTTTCCATAGTATTAGCAATACTGACCACAGCACTTCTCAAAACTTTTAATATTGTCCAGGTCCTCCTTCTACCTCCCTAGTTGCTCTTTTGTCTTCCTTTTCATAATACCCTTCTCTTAATATGACTGTTCACTAAGATTGTATCCTCTGGTCTCCTCTATCCCCATTCTCTGTCCCATGGCTTCAGCGTTAACATCATAGGCTTTAGGATCAAACACAACTGTGTCCTAGTTCTCCTCCTGCCTACATTTGTGTGGCTTTTACTTCCAAATTGCTAACCCCTAAAAAGTTTTCTGAGCTCTAGTTCACATTCCTAACTGCCTCCTGGACAGTTTTGCCCAGATGCCTCACTGGTGAGTTTACCTTTCTAAAATCACTCATCATTTTTACTCTGTAACTACCTTTCTTAAATCTACTAATGTAGCTTCCATTTTCTCAAAACTAGGGAATCTTCACCCTTCCAAATCTATTTAGTAGCCAACTCTTATCAGTTTTATCCTCAGAATGGCTTGAGCATCTATTCTTTCATCTCTGTCCCACCTGCTACCACCCTCCCAAATTATTCTAGGTATCTTCTTGTGTACCAAACCCCTTTTCAGATTCTAATCTTATGTAATTCATTATACCCCATCTCCTTACCTTTTTTTAACTTTTTATTTTGAAATAATTTCAGACTTTCAAAAATGTTGTAAGAATACTACAGACAGTTCCTACATATCCTTTATTCAGCTTCCTCTAAAGTTAACAGTTTACATACCCATAATCCAATTATCAAAAGCAGAACATTAATATTGATATAATACTACTAACTAATCTACATACCTTATTCACATTTTCCCAATTGGCCTACTGATGTCCTTTTCCCAGTCCAGGATCCAATCCAGGATCTCACATTGCATTTAGTTGTTATGTCTCCTTTGTTTCCTCCAAGCTGTGGCAGTTCCTCAGTCTTCTTTATAATCTTGACACTTTTGAAGAATACAAGCCAGTAATTTTGTAGAATGTGCCTCAATTTTAGTTTGTCTGATATTTTCTGATAATTAGATTGATTTTATTTATTTTTGGCAAAAATGTCACAGAAGTGATGCTGTGCCCTTATTAGTACAGTATATCAGGAGGCACATGTTGATATGGCTATTACAGGTGATGTTAACTTTGATCACTTGGTTAAGGTAGTGTCTTACAGGTTTCTCAACTCAAAAGTTATTCTCTTTCCCTTTGTAATTAAGTAATATTGTTTGGGGAGATGCTTTGAGAATAGACAGATATCTTGTTTCTCATCATGTTTTGCCCACTAATTTTAGGATCCGTCAATGATTCTTGCCTGCAACAATTACTGCTATGATGTTTGCCTAGTGGAGATTTTGTATTTCTATCATTCCTTCAACGTTTATTAATTGGCATTCTGTGTAAGGAAGAGCTTTCCCTTCTCCCTCCCATTTATTTGTTATTCAATTACTTATTTATTATGATTCATGGATGTTTATTTTATCCCATGGACTATTGTTTATTTTATTGCTCAAATGGCCCTGTATTTGGCCATTCGGAGCTCCTTCAGGTTGGTTCCTATGTCCTTTCAAACTTCTGTCCATTATTTTTTTTAGCATTTCCTTACTTTCTGGCATTACAAGATGTTCCAGATTTGTCTTTTACTGTTACTGCCTCAGCCCTGGAATTACGTTTCTCCAAGAAGCCATGATTCCTTTTATTCGTTACCTTAATTTGTAAAAGCACAATTTTGAACATGAAAACCCTCAATGGCTCCCCATGACCTAATTAAAATTTAGACCACTTAGCCTGGCATTCAAATATATCCATGCTCTGGTTCCAAAAAACCCACTCAACTTTATAGTCCAAACTTTCCCTTCATGTACTCTACCCTTACAAAGACTGGAATAAATTCATCACTTCCTATCTCAGCCAGTTGGGATAGACCTTTCCCTCTGAATCTGTTCCTGATTCTAGCTGGGAATTTTTTTTTTCTGAACTTTTATTGCACATTTACTTTCTTTATGGCATTAATTATGTATGCCTTTTTTGGCTAGGCTTTTGTCATATTTGTCTCATCTCCCCTACCTTGTTGAAAGTTCTTAAGAGCAGAATCTGTATGTTATGATCTTACTCACCTTTTTTTCTATTTGGTCCCTTGCACACAGTAAGCATTCAGTAAATATTTGTTACATGGTTGCTGAGTGGAACTAAAATCATTAGGAGACCCAGAAACAGAATTTACATTTCAAGTACTCTACCTACCACTGAACAGATAACCTACTCATCTGTTGAGACTTATGGCTAGGGACCTTCTGGTGGATTGATCTTAGTCAAACTCTTCTTTCAGCCTAAACGTGTAACCTACACCGAAATTATAAAAACTGCTTATATTAGAGCTTACCCTAGCATTAAGCTCCAAGGCCTCTAGCCAATTTGGCTAGATCTTTGAGATTCTCCTCTCCCATTGGAAGAGAAATGGCCTTTGCCAGAGCTTGGTGGTCAAACGCATGGTTCATGAGATATTTTACTTCTTTGGAAAACCAAAAAATCGGAGCTTCAAAATATTTTTCTTCCCTCTTATCATTTCAGAGACACTTTTTGGTGCCAGCAGAGCTACAGAGTCTCTCAAATCTTGGTCTAAAAAGAACTATTTGAGAACAAAGCTTGAACTGGGGTTTTATTTTTCTTTTAATGTAAAAACAAAAGTCTGGCCTTATGGTCAGGCTCCAGTTCTCTCCAGCGGGGAATCTAGCAGAGTTGTAGCTCACTGGTTATGTAGCCAGAGTAGGAAATGATCTTCTAAATGTGTTTAGAGATTGGTTCAGGAAGTGGGAGAGGAGGAATCTTAGCAGTCCAGACACGTGCAGTGGGGGGTGTGACTAGACTGGAGTGGAGCCCTACCTTTCTGGCCACGTCTTTGCTCACACAGATTTCTCTGTCCACTCCCCTTAGGTGGATCACTTGGATAAGAATGGGCAGTGTGCTTTGGTCCATGCTGCACTCCGAGGTCATCTGGAAGTTGTCAAGTTTTTGATTCAGTGTGACTGGACTATGGCCGGCCAGCAGCAAGGAGTGTTTAAGAAGAGCCACGCCATCCAACAAGCCCTCATTGCTGCAGCCAGCATGGGTTACACTGAGGTAAGAAAGTAGGTGATAGGGTTTGAAGTTTTGGGGTTTTGTTTTGTTGTTGTTGTTGTTTTCAAAGTATGTATTGAAGGGCCTACGAAACCAGCAGAGAAGGGTTGTGTTCTTACAAAATTGTCAGCCAGATTAATGTAAGTAGGCTTTTTGGGCACTGTTCTGAGGAATAGGGAGATTAAACTCTGTAAAGCACTTCACTCAAATGCATGGGCCCTAGAATTACGGGCATAAGACATGAGAATTGGAAAGGACTTTGGAAATTATCTAATCTAATTCTTCCCCATATTTCCACTCCCATTTAAGAGATAATGTCAGTAAAGCTCAGAGGGATTAACTGTTGATTTGTGGTCACATGGCAGGGCAGTGTGGAATGGGAAGAGCACTGCGCTTGGAGTCTCAGAAGGACCAGATTTGAGTCCCAGCTTCACTTCTCGTTAGCTCTGGACCTTGGTCAATTTACCTAATTTCTTAGAGCTTTTCATTTCCCATCAGTAAAGTGAGACTAATAAATTCTTTTGTACAGGTTTTTATGAAAGGTGCATTGTAAACTGTAAAACACTATACAAATGGTATTTTTACTAATTTATTTATTAATAATAATAATGGCAGAATACATGGAATTGGTGGTGTGGTAGAAACTAATAACTGACTCTCTGAGTAGCAGTGGGGGACGGGTGTGTGTGTGTGTGTACTTATTACTATAAATTAATATATACTTGAGTTTATTAATTCTACTGATATAAAGGGTTGTAGCACACAATTTACAAATAATGATGAAATATGCAGTACTCCTAATTGAATGCTTTTGTAGATTTTTGCCAAATTTGTATCTATAGCCAACCTATGGTTGCAACTCAGGCATGAATTGGCAGATGGAGTCGCAGCCAAATTTGCTAACTCTTTTCCCAAATAATTTCATTGTCTTCAAATCTGATATATGATCTACTGCTAAGCTATTGCTTACCCACATACAAATTATATTCATTAAACTGAAAGCTTTTTCAGCTTTAGCACTAAATCAAACCCTGATTTGTAATGTCTGCCAATGCAGAGTTGGGAAGAGATACACAATAGCATACTTTTGTATAATATATCTACCATACAGACCCAGTAAACATAAATAGCATGAAGAGCATAGTTAATAGTAAAATGTAGTTAAATAATTAGGAAGTTATGACAGCTGAGTATTTTTTAGTCTTTGTTTTTAATACGATTTGTTTAAGTGTTATTTAATTTTTCATAATGGTTGTGTTTAACAACTGGCTTGCAAAATTCCTGAAAATGTATCACCTGGCTCTCATGGGCTTGTGTAAGCTGGCTCCAGTACACCTCTGCCTGACATGCTGCAGTGAAACAGCTGCCCTGGCAACTGAGGGAATATTAAGTAGAATGGGAGACTTTTTTAACTTTCAGTACACTTAAATTCCCAGAAACAGAGCTATCACTTTCCTTTGTTACTAGCAGCCATTCTCCCTTACTTTCCCCAGAACAGTTCTTATGCTTCTGAGAGAGAGAAGGAAGATAATGACTCTGCTCTGAAGCATTGCAGGCCCTCTGTTTTCTCCATATTTATTTTCTGTGGTCTTTTTATTGAGAGGATGCGGGATTGCTTCTTTAACTTAAATATGAGGAATGTGTAATTATGTAGAATCACATGCTGTGTAAGTGAACTTTGTTCAAGAGAAACATGTAAACACTCCCTGATAGGACAAGTGCTCAGAATGTCAGCTTTGGGTTTCTTTGCTACAACAGTCAGTTCTGCTTCCTTTTGTGTACAAGAGATTTAGTAACGCTTGAATCATCCAGGTACCTTCCAAGTCTCACAAGCCAGTGTCAGCAGCATAGTTTCCACCTGAAGTTTGAGCTGATACAACTTCTTGTTTCAGATTGTCTCCTACCTACTTGATCTTCCAGAAAAAGATGAAGAGGAAGTGGAGCGAGCACAGATCAACAGCTTTGACAGTCTCTGGGGAGAGACAGGTACACGGATGCTGTCTTTTCTCATGAGCGTGTTGTGTTTGTGGACTCTGTGTATCTCATACCTTCTTTTCTCTCCGGCATTCTTGGCAGTCTTGTGTATTATGACTTTTATTTGGAGACTTGTACGGCCAAAGTAAAAAGTCTGGCAGTTGTCATCTTTTAATTTTCTTCCCCCTTGGATGCTCCATACCATTAGCACCCAAGTCTTCTTTCAAACAAAACTTTTCCCTACTCCCGTTTCAAAAAATTTTGGGAAGACTGAAAGTTTCCTTACAGTGTGCCACACCAGAACAGAAAGTAATTATGGCCTTTCCCTTTTTTTTATTTGATCCTCATAGCAGCTAGGAATAAATATTTCTCCCATGAAAATAACTTTCCACTTGCAGTTATAAACCAGGAGGTTAAATTTTTGTGTTATCATGTTAAAATGGTATCTGACTATTAAACGGATACATTATGAGTAAAGTTGCTATCTGAGTACAAAATAAGGGTACCACTCTGTAACACCCAGCTCCATACAGTTTCTGTGGCACTTGATACTTACTGCACAAACTGAAGCCTCTTCCTTGTGGCCTTTGAAAGAAATGATTGTTGTCCTTCCTCCAAGTTTTGTTTGAAAGAAAACTTGGGTGCAATGAAAACTGTAGAGTCACCACAGATACGTGTCATAATTGTTTGGTGGAGCAGACCAATATTGAGATGGCCAATTTAGAGAGAATATTTTATTAAACAAGAAGAGTTTGTGTTTTGGTTAGGGTCAGAGTGTTATTAAAAATAAAAGACATATGAACTCATTTAAAATTTATAATGACCTATTGAATTGTGATGTGTCATCCCATGGCTAAATCTTATATAGGTTTCATAGCTTCTTTAGCATCATGTGGAATGGTCCAAAGCTCAGGAATTTGCTTGTCAAACAATCCCTCCCTCTGTTAGAGCCAAAGGGAGCAGATGCCAGGCAGCTGTGACTTAAGAGCCCATGACTGATTAAAGGAAAATGTGCAGCTGGAAACAGCTGCAGTCCCTGTGACTCCACCCTGAGGGAAGCCAGAGGACAGGCTAGGGGAAAGGGGCTGGTCAAGACATCAGCAATTCTAGAGTATGCATTTGTGACCTACAGCTGCAGAAGGGACACCTTGGTTTTATTTCTCCCACCAACACAACCCTCCCCAACACAGTGTTGTCATCCCTCCCAACAGATCCGTTGTTGCCAAGGCCACGGGTACGCAACTACTAAAGAGGACAAAAAAAAGTAGTGGTCCAATGGTGAAAATAGGTCTTAATTACAAGAGTTACAGTCATAGTGATGAAACACATTATAGCACTATTCTTGAAAGAAATCCTTAAAAACATTCAAGATGAGCATGAACTAAATAGAGGACTTATTTTCATTTATATGAATTTCTTATTAGAATAAAACCTTATGGCCTTGGGTTTTTCTTAATATTTCATGCTTTAAAGTGTGCAGTAAATTTTGTTACATTAATTTTCATGCATAGAAAACATTAAAGAAACACTTCAGATACACTAGAACATGTTTCACATAATAATACAGTAATAATAATCATGTTTTGATGCTTGTCGCAGAATTGCACCCATTTGTTATTATGAACCATTGTATGTACCTCAAATTTTTAATATCATAGGCTTTACGGGGGTTGGTTCATAACTACAGGTTGTAGGTAAGTCAGACTTTTATAACCCAGGTACTGCCTGTAATCAGAATTGCCTTTTGTTTAACTTCATAATTATATGGAATAATTAGAGGGTCAGTGAAAAACAGGAAGACCCTCAACAAGATAGATTGACACAGTGGCTGCAACAGTGGTCTCAAACATAACAATGATTGTGAGGATGGCACAAGACCAGGCAGTGTTTTGTTCTGTTGTACATGTGGTCGCTATGAGTCAGAACCAACTCAATGGCATCTAACAACAACAGCAACAAACATAAAATGCTATTTAAATTTGAGTTAGAATGAAATATATTGGTAATATAATTTGTATGTCTGTGAAAAAATATTTGACTTCAGAGAAATTTCTAGAAAATAATGTCTTTGCTATATGAAAAATGACCCTACAACTCATCACTAGTATAGAATGGACTTAGTGTTACTTTTCTGTCTACAGTGATACATTGCACCAAGTGTCATGTTTCTTACTTACAGCACATTCTCATTTAAAATCTGTAGTGACACATTGAACTGTGAATCCTTTCCATGGCAAAATCTTACATATATTTCCCATTTATTGGGAATGAAGGTCTGTGACCTGCAGCTGGCTGGTGAGGGTCTCATGTCAATAACCCTAGCCTTAATGACACAATTTTTACCTAAGGAAAATAGAAAATATTTTATGCATTAATGACATACATCTGACAGTAATGAACACTGGGGTGCAAGGCAAGAATAACGCTGGCTATGATGGTTAAGGTTATGTGTTAACTTGACTGGGCCACGATTCTCAGTGGTTTGGCAGTTAATGTAATAATGTAATTTGGCAGTTATGTAATGATGTAATCTGACAGTTATATAATGATGTAGTCATCCTCCATTTTGTAATCTGATAAAGTCATCCTCCATTTTCACATAATGCTGGTTTTTGCATAATGACCTGGTCTTTGAAACCTAACCATGTCACTAAGTGAGGAGTGGATGTATACTGAATCTAAGCTACCACTAAGTATAAGAAACACCATTATTTTATGTATCACTACAAAAGATAGAAAAAAACTATGCCAATTCTGACACAGTTCTTTATCATCACATCAGTTATAAGATGCATCCCAATTCAGGTGGTAAAATGTGAAGAAGAAAAAAAGTGTATCTTAGAATCAATGAAATACATCTTAACGTGTAGTGACATATTAACTGAGATGTAATTTTTACATATCGGATTTCCTAAACACAGATCACTAGAATATCCTAGTTGCTTTTGTCCTCTTTTTGCAGCATCTTTATCCCTCCAGATAGCATCTTCCTACATCTAGCTTTCAGCATCTGGCTGACCTCTTCCCATCCCACAGGGTTTTCATAGACTTCTTATGGAACAACACCAAAGAAAAGCAATTTAGGTGATAAGATTGTTGACCACTCTTTGCTCTCCTTACGTTATGGGCACAGACCAAGACTGGCACTAGGAACTTCTAGAAACACTGGAGTGTGTGAGCCAACCCCAAGAAATCCATGGCCTAGATTATTGCAACTGCCTCCTATCTGATCTTCCTTCCTCTAGCCTCACCCTTTTGTGATCCATCCCCCAGATTTCCACCAAAGTGATCTTTTTAAGCCACAGTCTGTTCATGTCACTTTCCTGCTTACCATTGGCCACGTATACAATAAGTTTTCTAATTAGCATAAAAAGGCCAGTTGTGATCTCCAGCCTCATCTGTTGCCTGTCTTCTCCAATAACTCTCCATGCTGTTTCCCACCTCGGTGCCTTTCTGCATGCTGTCCCTTTGCCTAGCATGCGCTCCTCCTTATCCTCATATGCCTGTAAATCTATCTTTCAAAATTTAGCTCAGCTTGTCATCTCTTCCTGGAAGCCTTCTCAGACACTTCCTCTGTGCTACCTCCATACTACGGACATAGCTCTGTTGTGCTTCTCACACTGTACAGTAATTATTTGTTTTTCTTATTTCCCTTAGTTGACCATGAGTTCCTTGAGGACAGGGACTCTGTCTTCCTTGCCTCTGTATATTTCTTATCCTTAGTATCTAGCACACCGTGTCTGACAAAGAGCGCAATAAATGTTTAACTAATTAATGTTGTTTTGGATAGCAGTGATCCATTTGTTTCCCCAACTACCTCCTTCCCATTGGTCTCACATGACCAGCCTGTGCCATACTCTTTCAAGGTTGAAAATAGATAAATAAAAGAATCATTTGCTTCACTGCATTCTGTTTAGTGTCAGCATCCCATCCAAGCAGACTTTGGCTATTTCCCCAACTCTGAGCTGCATCCTGTCGCCTCTTCAAACTCCTTAGATGTTTCCCTTTGAGAAAAGACTGTTTGTGTCCGATAACCTCATCAGATGCTGACAAGCTAGGGAACAAATTCTGATACTTGTCTCTTAGGAAGAAATTTGACTCCTAACTGCTGTGTTTAAGAATCAGTTTCTTGTTTTACAGAACTGACTTTAACTTACTTAATCTCCTGTCTCTCAAATAAAGTTTTAACAGTTTTTGATTAGACTTGTATAAAACCCAGCCAAAACAACTCCCTGATGGATTTTGAAAAGTCCAGATTCCATCTTACATAGTGATGTTGTTGTTTGTTGCTGAGATAAAATCGGCCGGCTGTGTTAATGACCATGACCAGCTATCGGCTGAAGATTGCTGCCAAATTACATCATAACCTAAGCCACAGAGATGGTACAACAAAGAAAAAGGCCAAATGGAACATTTCTTCTCATATAAATATGTTATCCAATGGGGAGAGGTGGGCCAGCCAGAGCAATGTAATTCCATGTTAGAGTGGACAATGCAGCTTTCCAGATGGGCACTGGTAGTGAATTTTCAACTATGTTCTGTGAAATGGCATCATTGGTGAGAGACTTGATCCTGAAATACTGAATTTTCGCCTTCATGCCTGGGTAGTGCAAACAGTTAACGCACTCAGCTGTTCCAACCAAAATGTTGGAGGTTCAAGTTTACCCAGAGGCGCCTAAGAAGAAAGACCTCACAGTCTACTTCCAAAAAATCAGCCACTGAAACATCTGTGGACACAGTTTTGTTCTGCCACACATGGGGTTGCCATGAGTCAAAATCAACTCCACAGCAACTGGTTTATATTTTCTCCAGGCACTTTAAATTCTTTTGTAAAAATGAATGTATGTGACATCCCCACCCCGCTCCCAAGGTATTGAAAGGGAGGTTTGCTGCAGCCCTATCACCTATTAGCTACTTTAAATGGGATTAGAACATAGGACTAGAGATTTTCCAAATGGCTTGTTTTATGCACCAACAAGAAGATTTTTATAGTTCCTAAATGAGCCCTGGTG